AAAAATGGCAGCAGCAGCAGCCCCATTAACCATCTGTCATGGTGGAACTAAGCAACACTGATAGTAAAAATCACTGAACTGCAACCAGTAGCAATATCAAGCACTGACAAAAGTAGAAGATCATAAATTATCAGAGGCAAAGCAATCCACAGCAGGCTAAACATCTGTATCAAAGTTGGGTGGGGGGGGAAACATCTCAGGGTTGAGATGCATTTAAAGCACATTTTTAAAACTTGTGCTTTTCAGTTGCAAGCATTTTTAATATGCAGAGTAATCTTTAAATTTAAATAAATATAAATAAATAATAAAAATTTAAATAAAGATATACAGGTAATGTCAACTCTGAAGCTGGCTTGACTGAGGCCATCTTGGAAGCTTCAGTGTTGACAAAATGGTGATGAGGGATGGGGAGGGGCGGGGGGAGATAGTTTGGATTTTCTAGCCAAAACAAAAGAGTTTCCCCTGAGAACCAAGGGCATTCCCACAGGTGGCTGAAAAGGGGAAGAGTGGAGTTTCCAAGCAACTGGATAGCATCTTAATTTGGACCATGTGGTTGATTGTTTGGGAAAGGGTGGGGGGGACTTTTACTTTGAATTAGATGAAAACCATGAGAACTTTTAGTCAGTTTTCACCAGTTTATGCCAATATGATATATCAAATAAACCTGTTCGCTATTGCCTTGGAGTTCTGTTTGCTATGGGTGAATTACTTGGAACCCTAACAGGTAGCCCTTGACTTACGATCACAAGTAAGCCCAGACTTTACGTCGCTAAGTGGCACAGCAGTTAGAGTGCAGTACTGCAGGCGGTTTCTGCTGACAGCCGGCTGCCTGCAATTTGGCAGATCGAATTTCACCAGGCTCCAGGTTGACTCAGCCTTCCTTCCTTCCTAGATGGGTAAAATGAGGACAGAGATTGTTGGGGGCAAGAGGCTGACTCTGTAAACTGCTTAGAGCGGGCTGTAAAGCACTATAAAGCAGTATGTAAATCTAAGTGCTATTGCTATTGCTAAGCAAGATATTTGTTTAGTGAGTTTTGCCCCGTTTCATGACCTTTCTTGCCACCGTTGTTAAGCAAATCCCTGCAGCTCTTTAAGTGAATAACAGGGTTGTTAAGTGAATCTGGCTTCCCCATTAATTTTGCTCACAAAAGCTGATCACATGACTCTGGAACATTGCAGCCATCATAAATAGGAATCAGTAACCAAGTTTGAATTTTGATTACCTGCCAGTGGGAATGCTACACAAGTCATAAGTGTGAAAAATGATTATGTCATTTTTTTCAGTACCTTTGAAACTTCAAATGGTCACTACATGAGCCTTTCTAAATCAAAGACTACCTGATAAGTTTATTAACTATGTTTAATGAATTTATAGATTACAGCTAAATGAAATATGAGGATTGTTGTAAAGAGAATAATATCAATCTTTATGATGAATTGAACAGATTAATTTTTCTTTTTGAAATCATAATTATTTTTTATGTAATTAAAGGGGAAACTTGCGGAATCTGACTTAAAAGGTATATATGAAATGTAGTTGTCAGAAGATTATTGTTATTAATTTTTAGTTAAATAATTATTGGGATTTAAAGGGGATTAATTAAATGATATATAAGTTATAGGGATGTCAGACTCTAATTGGTAATTGTGGGGAAAACTTTTTTGAAATGTTTGAATTGAGATGGAATTTTTAGAATGATGAAATAAGAATATGCAATGAAATTGCAAACTTGATAGATAAAAGCATAAAGTATAATGAATATAAAGATATGAGAGTTATTTAAAGTTTAAGAAAACAGGTCAAGTAATGAATTGAAAAAATATATAAAATAAGCTGGAGGAAAGTATCTGACAAAAATGATAAAAAATATGTAAAGTAATGATAAGATATGAAATTAAATGTAAAAGATGAGTATGAAATTAAAGTCATGTTTGTATGGAAATGTGATAACCTGGAATCATGCTGTTCACTAAAAAAGATGTTTTTTAATATGTGGAAAACGGAAATAAAATTTTATTAAAAAATAAAAAAATAAATCAAAGACTACCTGTACACATTTTAAACAGATTTAGAAGAAAGATCAATGCACTTGAAAGAATTACCTGGTTTTGGTGGAGACAGTTTTAAAACTTTTCTCATACTCAGAAAGTAACAGACCAGATTTTTTTTTTCACTCAGTCTCATAAAAATAAGATAAATACTACAATATGAGACATATTCAGATTTTGATAAATATGAATGTCATTGGAGGCAAAGTCAATTCGGAGGGGGAACATTATTTTTTGAAATGAAGAGATTGATCCAAAGCAATGACCCTAACATCATTAAGAATTTCTTTAAAAGCTGCAATTCTTTTTGGGAGAAATATGACAAAACGGCTTAGTCTTGTTGTATTGCTTCCAAGCTACATTGCAGGTAGAGTTATTATTATATTGGACGGAATCATTGTGTGAGAGAAGACAGAAGATAATTTTCCTTTCATCTGTCATGCCGGATTCCCTAGAAGGTTATTATTTTCCTTCTTTAAGTTGTAAACTCCAATATGGAGTGATGTATTGTCACAGCAAAGTGTGACATCGATCAAATGAGAATGTCAGCCAGATTCACCAATGTGTAACAGCTAGAGATTTTCATGTAGCTTGAAAGGTAGAAAGCCTAGCCTTTGGGTATAACTTTGTCTGGTTTAAGGAGAGTTCAGGACCCTGCATAAACCCAGCAATTTGAATTAACACAAATAACCAAGCAGCTTCAAAACAAGCCAAGTGCTGCACTACGGAAAGTGGTAAGGAGCATTAATTAGTTGGGCCATCAAATTTACTCAGTACTAGGTATGCAAAAGGTTTATAAAACGAAATTAGGTTCAAGACATAGATTTTAAAAATTTAAGGATGTTAACTATGATTAAAGTACAAAATGCCATGAGATCTAGATAACATGCTGATCAACTAAAATCTGGATCTACTTGTCCACCTGTAGATCCCTGGATTAATCTGAACAGAACGTAGATCAAAAAGCACAAAATGTGGCACATAAGAGAATGAACCTCTGCAAATACACACACTCACACGTTTCTCTTTAAATCCTTCCGTCTCTGTCTGCCTGTAAAACCACAAATCATTATTGCCTCAAGGAAAACAGTTGTCCAAGTACAATAAAACTGTCAGTCTGTCAATCAACTGCTTAGCTGCAGAATATCCACATCCAACCTAGAGATGTTTCTATCACTTGTCACCATTCATCAGCAGACTTCTACAAAATGGGGGTTATTCCCATACAGCAAGCTAGTTGCCATAGTTTTCATCCAACTGCATGGACATGTTCATCCATGGCATGAAGATAGTTTGTGGGATTGGATCAAACAGCCAAGATGGTAGCTGCAAAGGTGTGGACAAAGCCTTGCCTACTTTTTATGTGCTACATTGATTTTAGCTAAAAGGTAAAGAAGCAAAACAGAGAAAAACTAAGTGGATATATCATATCATTGCAGCTACCATGCTGACTTTGTAACTATAAGCTGATAGACACTCATGAATGGTGTAAAGCCCGGTAGATCTTATTGGCTCTTCTAAATGTAGCACCAAAAATCTCATCTTCAAATCTCCTTTCCAAGCTTCTAACTTCATGCGTACTTTACCCCAGATCTGAGCAAACTCACTATAAGAACCTACTTGTATTATTGTTCAATTGTTACTCTGTCATGTCAGTGCTTATTCCTTTCTAAAGGAAAAAAAAATACAAATTATAATGTTTCCCATAATATGATCAACGGATAACATTCAAACTGAACACTCATGAAGATTATCCTGCAGCCAACTTTCCCTCAAGCACTAAATCTAGCCAATATTTTGGCCAGTCCCTTGAAAAAAAGATTTTTTTCAAACTTTATCCTGATGAAATCCAAAAGGACGGGGAAGAAAGCCAAGCTGGGCTCTCTGCAGTGAAGAATGTCCAGAAGTATCCATAATGACACATGGCACATTTCTCTCTAAATTTTGATGCAAACCACTTCAGTTTGTCCCAAAGGTGCACTTCCCAAAAGGCAACTGGATTTTCTTGAGGTTTTTTTTTTTCTTTTTGAAAATGTTTCACTTCCCATCCAAGAAGTTTCTTCAGTTCTAACTGAAGTCAGAACTGAAGAAGCTTCTTGGATGAGAAACAAAATGTTTTCAAAGGAAAAAGAAAAGAAAATCCAGTTGCCTTTTGGAAAAATCACTTTGGGGACAACCATGACCTGGTTGATTGATACTCTCCATAGACAACACTTCTGTTTGCTTCCCTGCAGAAGGGAAACATTTGAAATGGCTACATAAAAAAACAAGGCATGGATTTTGCAATACATTTACTAATGGGTGGTCTAGTTTTACTGGTGAGGCATTTGAGAACACGGTCCTTTTTCCACACTTAGAGAGACTTAAAATTCAAAGGCTTGTTCTTCTTTAAATCAACCAATAGCAATAGAACTTCGACTTATATACAGGGTTTTACAGTACTCTCTAAGCAGTTTACAGAGTCAGCATATCGTCCCCAATAATCTGGGTCCTCATTTTAACCACCTCAGAAGGATGGATATTGTCCCCAACAATTTTTTGGCATCAAATTCCAGCTCTGACACACAGCAGCATAGAAATGCATGCCTTCAGACTATCTGCAATAGGAATCTGAAAGGAATTTTTTTATATATTTTCCTAGCACTCCTTTGATGGACAATAGCAATAGCACTAGCACTTAGACTTATATACTGCTTCACAGTACTTTTACAGCCCTCTTTAAGCGGTTTACAGAGTCAGCCTCTTGCCCCCAACAATCCGGCTCCTCATTTTACCAACCTTGGAAGGATGGAAGGCTGAGTCAACCTTGAGCCTGGTGAGATTTGAACTGTCCAAATTGCAGTCAGCCGGCAGTCAGCAGAAGTAGCCTGCAGTACTGCACTCTAACCACTGCACCACCACAACTCTTATGCGCCTTCCACAATTTCTTGGTCCGTGGCTTATTTACTTACTCTCGCAAAGCCTTCTTCTCAGCTCCTCCCGTATCTTATCAATAGCATTGTAATCAGAGACATGGAAGACGTGGGCCGATTTTGGCTCAGAAGCAATTTCATCCAGTTCCTCTTTGAGGGCATCCCCAACACCCACTGCAAAAATCCGGATGCCAGCCTTATGCGCTGCCGAGGCAGGACTCAAGACGTAATCCTGGCTCCTGCCATCAGTCAGGAGGATCGCAACTTTCTTGATGGCGTTATCATTTGGCCTCCCGCCGGCCTGTACGGAAAAGCTATAACTATTGATGTACCGCAGGGCATCTCCAGTGTTCGTATTCCCTCCATAGTACTTGATGCTCTTTGCAGCTTCTTTGATCTCTTGCTGAGTCCCATAACTTCCAAGGTCAAACTCAGTCGTTGGCTGATCGCTGTACTGGACGACCCCAACACGAGTTCTGTCTGGTCCAATCTCAAACGTGTCCACTAGGTGGGCTATCCATTGGCGGACCTTCTCAAAATCTTCTTTGCCCACACTGGAGGACGTGTCCAGCAGGAAGATCAGATCATAGTGAACGTTCTTACAACCTGAGAGGGAAATACGAGAGGCTCCTGAGACGCGGGAGAGAAAGGCAGCCAGGAGAAGGGCAACATTCATAGACATGTCTCTCCAACATAGCAAAGTCTACCTGAAGAAATGACTCAGCAGCTCTCTGTTTGTCCAAAGCATTGAACATGTTTCACCTGGCAGACCTTCTGCTAAGTATTTTCTTGGAGGTTCTGCCTTAATGGCGGTGTCTAAAACTAGTTCCGAATCCAGCTTTTTGCTGCAGTTTGCAAACTTTCTCTTCCCCACCTTTCTCTCTCTCTCCCTGGCGGCTGCTGTCTTGGCTCAGCCCCTTTTGTCTACTCTGTTTGCATGTCTATGAGACAACTTTAAAAAAAAAGAAAAAAAAGAAAGTAACTCCCAACAGAGTGTGCTCTGTTCTCCCGCCTTCCTTTCCCCTTTAATGCCACAAGCTGAAAATGCCTGGGTATATCAGATTATCTGCCTTCCACCCAGTCACGCTGTTTCTACATTTCTACACATTCTCTCTTAACCAGGGCTGTTAGATTTTATTAATCATTAGTCTGGAGAACTATTTAACACCAGTCAGAAGGTTTAACGGAGCAAGATTCAAAACAAAACCTGACATGTAGGTGACTCACTGGGTGCAAAATATTCAGAATCGTTATCTTATTGGAGCAGGAAGCATCTCTCTCTGTCTGTGTGTATGCTCAATATATAGTAGCTAAATACAGGTTTACAAATGATGTGCTCGGAAGCACATATTTCAAGAAATAGATCATAAATTAAGCTGGGTGTGAATTCCATTTCTACTGGAATGGAGGCACCGTGGCATCTGTCTTCCACAGCTTTTGTTCATCCACACAATCTGGCAAAGTCTGAATGTTTTGAACCCCATATATAAGGTCCAGAAAGCAGGTGTTTTCTGTCATAGTGTCTAGCTTCTGGATCAGTATCTCCCCATACAATTCCATGGTCCTTATCCTGACCCTATTTAAGCAAACCTTTAAAACAGAGCTGAAGAAGCTTCTTGGATGAGAAGCTAAATGCCTTCAAAGAAAAACCAGAAAATCCAGTTCCCTCTTGAAAAACAGCACCTTTGGGACTTTAAAACATGGTTCTTCTAGGTCTTCTAGACTAGTTGGTGGACTCTGGTATGGAAGTTGCTTTTGAAGCATAGGTAATCCTCAATTTACAACCCTCTGCTTAGTGACCATTCGAACTCACAACAGCACTGAAAACAGTGACCTATGACCATTTTTCACATTTACAACTGATGTAGCTTCCCCATGGCCATATGATCAAAATTTGGATGCTTGGCAGCTGGCTCATATTTATGATGTCCTAAGGTCATGAGATCACTTTTTGTGACCTTCTGACAAGCAAAGGCAATGGGGAAGTCAGATTGACTGAACAACTATTGTGTTAACTTAACAACTGAGTGATTCACTGAACAACTGTGGCAAAAAAAAGATTGTACAATTGGGCAAAATTCACTTAATAATTATATTGCTTAGCGGTGGACATTTTTGGCTTAATTATGATCATAATTATCCTTACCACCCATCCCCTCCCACTTGTGACTGTATGTCTGTAACTCTGTCGCTTGTATCCTTACGATTTATATTGATTGTTTCCTAGTATGATTTGATTGCTTATTGTGCCCTATGACTATCATTGTTGTACTTTATGATTCTTGACTCTTGATGAATGTATCTTTTATTTTATGTACACTGAGGGTATTTGCACCAAGACAATTTCCTTGTGTGTCCAATCACACTTGGCCAATAAAGAATTCTATCTATAAGTTGAGACTACCTTTATCGCTGGATGTTCTTTTTCTGGACATCTCTTTTATAGGGTCTTTTGTATTATTCTGTTTTATTTGTCCTTTTTTTCTACTGCCCGAAGTCTGGCAGCCCATTTAAATAAATAAACAGCAGGATAAATGTCTGTCACATTTGAAGTCTAGCTAGTGAAGATTGAGATTGGACATATCCTTCACCTTTATATGAATCAATAATTTAGCTCCAAGATTAAAATGAACAATTTTATTGATTACAAAAAATGCTTCAACAATTGCAGGGTTGTGTAGCTTTTACGTGAGAGCTACAATAGTATTTGCATGCATACTTCTTAAGCAAGTCTTGTCATGTTCAGTGGAGTTCACCTAGGATATTCACATGAAAGTCCTTGATGAAGCTCTCACTTTGAGCAAGACCTAGAAGAATTTTGCAAGCTGCAAAATGGGTCTGAAAACAATTTAACCCAATCATTCTTTCAAAGCAACCCTTTGAATGGAATCACTGAAAGAATCAGATGTGCCAAATGTAATCCATCAACTAAGTTGAATATTTGTTTGTTTCAAGCATCGGTATTTTAGAATGATTTAATAAAGAGGCCTCATTGAGCAGTATGGGGCTGGAAAACCTCCAAGGTCCCTTCCCGCTCTGGCACTTTGTATTCTATCTTTTGTTTATTTATTTGATTTGTCAATCGCTTACAAGATAATAGGTATAAGTATAAACATAGTTATGAATACAGGAAATGGATACATATAAGAAAAATAAAAAAGAAACAATAGGACAGGGATGGTAGGCACATTGGTGCGCTTATGCACGCCCCATACAGACCTCTTAGGAAAGGGGTGAGATCAATAGTAGACAGTCTAAGGTTAAAGTTTTTGGGGTTTGGGGAAGAAACCACAGAGTCAGGGAGAGTATTCCAGACATTGGCCACTCTGTTGCTGAAGTCGTATTTCCTGCAATCAAGTTTGGTGTGGTTAACCTTGAGTTTGTATCGATTGTGTACTCTTGTGTTGTTATGGTTGAAGCTGAAGTATTCATTGACAGGTAGGACATTGCAATGTATGATTTTATATACTATATTTAGATCAGACCGAAGGCGGCGTAGTTCTAGGTTTTCTAGGTCTAGAATTTCAAGTCTGGTGGCATAAGGTATTCTGCAATGAGTAGAAGAGTGGAGAACTCTTCTTGTGAAATATTTCTGGATTTTCTCAACAGTGCTAATATCAGATACCTAATGTGGGTTCTGTATTCAAAAAAAGTGGCCCATTGAAGTGGGAAGCTATTCTCTATTTTTAAGTGGCAGAGACACTGTTTCACTTTGCTCCCATAAATGGAATTTATGAAAAATGAATTGAAATTAATTTATGAAAAAAAAACAGCAAATGCTTTTTCAATGTTTCCAGCTGGCGCGTCTAAGCAGAGGATATCTTCCTTGCTTTAGAGCAATACATAAAGCTGAGGCCATACAGACAGTCCTTGATTTACAGCCACAGTTGACCAACCAACATTTCTGTTGTTCAGCAAGACAGTTGTTCAGTGAGTTCTGCCTCATTTTGACACTTTTCTTGCCACAGATGTTGTCAATCACTGCACTTGTTTAATTAGTAACATGATTGTTAAGTGAATCTGGCTGCCCCATTGACTTTGCTTGTCTGAAGGTCTCAAAGGGTGATCCTCAGAGGTGGTATTCAGGAGGTTCTGATCAGTTCTGGAGAACGGGTAGTGGAAATTTTGAATACTTCGGAGAACCAGCAAATACCACTTGCGGCTGGAGATTTTACAGTATCCTTCCCCTGCCATGCCCACCAAGCCACGACCACAGAACTAGTAGTAAAACAAAATGAATCCCACCACTGGTGATCGCATGACTCCTTGACACTGCAACTGTCATAAATACGAAACAGTTGCCAAGCGTTCAAATTTTGATCATATGACCACAGAGATGCTGCAAAGGTCATTAAGTGTGAAAAACACTCATAATGTCAGCTTTGGAAGCCATATTGACACCAGACGCTTCCACACTTCTACATTCTTGACCCTGGGAAAATGGGAGGAGGGAATTTCTTGGAGTGTATGTGGTTAGATATAATAGTATTCTTCTTCTAAATCAAGGTCATGTGATTTCTGCACCTGGGTGAGGGGACATCTCAAGTTGGGACAGATGGTGATTGGGCCATGTGATGCAATGAGGTGTGCAGGGGGTGAATTTGTAGTTTTTACTTATTGCAAGGAAGGCCGGAACTTTCAGATTCAGGATTGCCCAGATGTGCCAGTTTACTATCCAAATAAAACAGAACTTTTGAGAAGATGTCCATCTCGGAGTTACTTGTTGGAGTGGAGGTTTTCTGGAACGCTGACATATAAATCACTTTTTTCAATGCTATTGTAATTTCGAACAGTCTCAAATGAATTGCTGTTAAGTTGAGGACTATCTCTACATGTAAAATAATCTCAAGTGGTGAATGAATTGTATTGCCTACTGTAATTTTCAGAACTTTTTAATAAGGTCCCAAGTAAAGCCCCTCTTAAATGAACATTTCTTGCAACCAATACCTGCACTTACCTGCCCTGTGAGCTTTAATCTTCTCTCCACCCCAGAGAAGAAGTAGCGTCAAGATGGAAGTGATCAGGTATCTTCCTATAAGAGGCATCTCTTCTCACTTCCCAGAGATAACACAACTTTTTTTTTTAATTCTCCCCTTTAGTATACGGAATTCTTCTACAAATCCATGCCTGAGAAAAGGAGATTTTAAAAGAGAGAGAGACATGAGAATAATGTAACAAAATTCTTCAGAAAAGAAATCACCACTTAAAAGGGTATTACCAAAAAGATAGGGAGAATCTCAGATATGAATGTCCAAATGGACATTATTTTCCTTGGTTTCTGTTTGCTCTGAAACTGAAACTCCTCTCCTCTGCTTGTGTTTTGCATTTGGAACAGATTTCTTTTCAGGTGGGGAGGGGGAGTAGAACTCCTTAGCATCAGAGCGTGTTAATAATAATATAGGAAATGCTAATGCTGTGATGGTCATTTTGAAAAATCCTTTCTTAGTGAGCACCTAGAAGCCAAGAGAAACATACGCACCAAATTTCAAGTTTGTAGGCTTTATGGTTCTGGAAACTTTGTGATGATGCATGAGGGGTATTTCGCTTTTATATATAGATTTCATTAACTTTGCTTTTCAAGAGGTGAAATATTAATATTCCAAGAAATAAAAACTACTCCTGCTCTCTCTTGAATTTAGTCTCATGACTTATCTTGAGAGGGTCTTAGCTACCTCTTGTTTCTAATACAAATATAGCTAAAAAGTGAACTTCAGATACCCAAGCTGAAGCTCAAATACTTTGGCCACTAAATGAGAAGAGAGGACTTCTTGGAAAAGACTCTGGTGTTGGAAAAGATGGAAGGCCAAAGGAGAAAGGGATGGCAGAGGATGAGATGGTTAGACAGTGTCACTGATGAATTTGAGCAAACTGCAGAGTCAGATATGACTTAGCGACTGAACAACAAAGGTGAACCTCACACAAAAAGCATTTGTACATGAAACAATTTTCAGCTGTGTAGCTTTATCACGGGATACCTTATTCCTTGATAATCATCCCCCAAAAGGTGAGATTATGAAGAAAGGGAATATTGTCAATCCTTCCCAACAGACGTGGTTGGACTTCATGTACAGACATGGCAACTGCAGAGTTACTGGTTTTGAAAGAAGAGATTAAAAGGTCTTTGTTGAAGGACCACAAAGAGAAGATTAATGGAAAAGAACAGAAGACTGTTGAGGACAGAAGATTGGAAATTATCCTCAGGGCTTTTCTGTCTTCTTCTGTGGAGACTTGGGCCTATTTACAGTAGCTCTTTCTGAGCAGAATTGGCAGAAACATTTCAAGTAGACTGCAGTAGCAATTCTCTTGTTTCTTTGGGCATAGCTAGGACATCCTTGACTTTTTTAAAAAAACAAAACAAAATAGTGTTGTTGTTTTTCCCCAGGAAAAACAACTATAAATAGGCAAATCTATACATAAATGAATGTATAGATTTGCCTATTTATAAATAGATACATTTGCATACAAAGGATTGCCATAGATAAAAAGTAAGATGGGAAATGCAACAGTGGGTGTTTGTAACATATAAAATCCAGAATTGCTGGGAATCAGCGTGGGATCACTTTCTTCTATAGCAACATGTTTGGTTGGTAGAGTTTTGTGGAGAAGTTCTTCACTCCATCCTCTGTTATCAGAGATACTAATTACAGGGAACACGAGGAAGGTCTCATTAGTGTCTTCATGTTGGTGCTCTCTATAGTAGTAGGGAAAAATCTTCCTACCTACCACTGATGACATTACCTAACACAGTTCTAAGCTATATTAACATAGGGATAAAATCAATATCTGTTTAATATCATTTTATAATGCCTTGGTAAGACCACACTTGTAATTCTGCATCCAGTTGTGATCACCATGATGTAAAAACGATGTTGAGACTCTAAAAAGAGTGCAGAAAAGAGCAACAAAGATTATTAGGGGACTAGAGACTAAAACATATGAACAGTTGCTGGAATAGGGTATGTCTAGTCTAATGAAAAGTAGGACTAGGAGTGACATGATAGCAATGTTCCAATATCTCAGGGGCTGCCACAAAGAAGAGGGAGTCAAGCTATTCTCCAAAGCACCTGACGGCAGGACAAGAAGCAATGGATGGAAACTAATCAAGGAGAAAAGCAAGCAACTTGGAACTGAGAAGAAATTTCCTGACAATTGGAACAATTAATCCACAGAACAACTTGCCTCCAGAAGTTGTAAATGCTCCAACTAGACATTTTAAAGAAGATATTGTGCAACCATTTGTCTGAAATAGTATAAGGTTTCTGCCTGAGCAGGAAGTTGAGCTAGAAAACCTCCAAAATCCCTTCCAACTCTGTTATTCTGTTATATGCAAGAAAACAACCAAGTTCAAAGAATTTCAAGAATCCCACAGAAATCCTTGCCTATTCAAGTTGGATGGATAACAAATTTATGCTCCTGTTTGTATGTCTGTGGTTTTTTACAGCTACATCTTTAAAGGATTTTCAAATACAGGTTTGTCCATCTCTTGATAGGAAAGTGAGTGAAGAATCACATTTTTTTTTAATGGCAGCTTCTATTAGGTATCAAAGTGGTGCCAAAGCAATGAGAATATTTATACAATAGAAGTGTCTGTAAAGAGAGAAATGAGCCATTCCTAGCCTCAGTGCAGGTAGCACATCTGGCAGGAAATGTCTTACTATGTTGGGTTTCTACATATATATTATTTTCGGAAATAACTTGCAAGAAGCACTTCAGATGTTACATGAATATGAACCAAGAATGTCTCTGCTATTCTGTAAAGCAGCCAGTCCTTTTTCAAGTTTCTACATCATCTGGGAGAGGTAGCACATAAATTGTGGCTCTTAAACTAGCTGCACCTTTGTTAAGCTCAAACATAAGCACGAAAAGGAGGAGATACTAGAAGGAATAGCTACAGGGCAGTTGTGCTCAATTAATTAGATGGTGCATATAGACCTATTTTTTAAACAAAACTCATTGAAAAACAGCAACCCTTATTTTATGTGTTATTTTTGGGTTAAATAGGTTACACTATTTATCATTTCACGTTGCTGCATTTTTATATCAAGGATTAAATCTAATTGGGCTATCATCGAATTTTGATATAAATTTAAAAGTGGAATCTGCCATAGGTGTTGCATTTCAACACCCATTCAATTACAATCTTGATTGACATTTCAGGAAACATACTAAAATGTATGCTATTTTTTTTTTTGAGAGAGAGAGAGAGATTACAATTTTATATTGTAGATTTTTAATGTTGTAAGATGTCATGGTTTGTTTAATAATAAATAAAGTGGTGATTTTTTTTTTTTGCGCCTCTCTTCAATATCCTTCCTATGAATATATCTTGCATGAAGTTGCAACATATTCCCCTTTCAAGATCAAATTCTAAAATCTTCTTCAGAATCTGGAAACCCTCCAGCATTTGCTACAGCTGGTTTTAAAAACTCAGTATTGTGCCAGGCTGTATATTTTAACCAATGTCCAGTAGGTGTCCCAGCAACACCGTTAGATGCTATTGAAGCTTTTTGCAGAAAAGAACAGACACACAAAAAATAGTAATGTGATCCAGTTCAGCAAATCCTAGTGTTAAATGTTTTGAAAAATACCAGTGCTGTTCATTTAAAATGATTTAACAAGCTGGATGCCCAATTCTTTCTCTTATGGGAGAAATATTGCATCTAGCTTAAAGAAATCAGGAATCATTTTGGGTGACGAACCAAGATTATTAAAAGGAAACACTTTTCATAAGATGTAGCATCAGATGCAGATAACACTTAAACTGATAGAGGATGTCAAGAAACTGTGCAGCAGCTGTCCAAATGAAGTGGGAGAGACTGACACAAGCTTGTAGTTTTATATAAATAAATATGAGGGGTCTTTGGTGCTCTCTGAGCTTGCTTATTTTCTTGCAGACATTCCATTACCCTAACTAGGTAACATCATCAGTGCAAGCAGGAGTGCTGTTTGCTGTCAGTTTATACTCAGTTCAACCCTGTGCTACAAATATTCTCCTTTATTGATAAATAAATCTATTTAATATTTCAATTTATAGCAGACAAGATAGTCAGGAGCATCCTGAGGTAAATCAGACAGATAGTCAGGAACATCGTGAGGTAAATCAAACAGTATACAGATCACAAAGAAGAAAAGGGTGGGGGAAAAGGGAAACTCCCTCTTTATAGTTAAGACAAACAATCATAAGCGCAGATTGCCTCATGAAAGATCCAGCCAACCAATCATCTATCACTGTATTCTGGCCTATTATACACTTCACTTTTCCAGCTAGTACATTCAATATCTTAAAAGAGGATTTTGCCATTCCACTGTCTCCTGGCTAAGCATCTTACTGTCGTTAATAATACAATCAGATTTCCTATAATTCATTAATTGGCATTTGAATTAATTTGATGAGGTCTTCTTTTGTTGCCCTGCATAGGAGAACAGAGCTGGAAAGCAGGTTAGTGGGGTGGGGAGGGAATGGAGATTTTGCAGTAGACACACCATGCCAACTAAGCAACCCCCACAGAATCGATAGTAAAAAAACAACAACTTTGAATCCCACCACCAGTAGGAATCCTACTGTCAGATATTTCCTGGGAATGGCCTAGAGCCGTCTAATTCTTCCACAACGACAGCCAGACAATCTTAAAACACATCACTGTGAGAAGAGCTCAGGATCTGGCTGGAAGGACCAGAGGTTGAACATGACTGAATTTATCTGAAGTATCTTTTGAAGGGAGCTCTTGAAAAGAGTTTGGCAGGGTTTTAAATTATGTCCATTCCCGGTTTGTTACAATTACCTTTTTTGGGGAAAAGCTATAAAGCCAAATTTTTAAAGGAGTCTAGATTAAATACATTTGTGTTTCAATTTGGCTTATTATCGAGGCCTAGGTTATATCTATCTGTTGCAGTGGTAAACCAATATTCTAGAATAATACAATGTGTGGTTTAAGCAGTAGGGATTATTTCTATAAACCCTGGCAAAATGAAACCATGGCTTGATGTCCTGGGTAAACCAAGTGCTAGATCTGATCCCAGTTTGCTGAGATTCAACTTTTGATAC